CTGATTGATAAATATGTTACTGGAGAAAATTGGATAGAAAAAGAAACACTATTCCAGAGTCCAGCATTGTACCTGTGAACTTGAAGATGATATAAGGGCATACACGGATGCGTTGGACGCATACAAACCAGTATCAGAAAATATATTACATCAGCTGCAAATAAACAGCTTTGGCAAATATACAAGTTCAAGAAGTTCTAAGTTACATGAGCCACTGGCCTTAAAAGATACTAAGGAAGTGACAAGAGGCTACTTTGCAGTGCATGGGCAATTAAGCAAGCCAGATGGTCTAATGACTAAAGTCAATTGCACTGTAATTCCAAACAAAATGAGAGGTGAAATCTTAAACCTTATCCATGAATGACATCGAGGACAAACTAAATGTCATGAATATGTCAACCAGGCAGTGTGGTAGCTGGGCACCAGCAAGGACATGAAGAATAAAGTATCTGCATGTGAAAGTTGCAGAACTAATGCACCAAAACAACACAAAGAATCTTTAATAACTTCTCATCTACCACACACACCTTGGAAGAGAATAGATGTGGTTTCAGAGGACGATACTTAGTTGTGGTAGAGTATTTCCCCAAATATATAGAAATAATGTACTTAAGAGACTAGGGATGTAAATGGGTAACTTCTTAACTGGCACCCAACCCAGCCAGAGCAGTCCCCTTGCTCACAGCATGGCACGTTGGTCTGGAACAGTTTCCATTTGTGGCATGCCATGGGCAGAGGGCTACTCCAGCCCAGCTAGGCCCACCAGGCCACAATGTCAGACATTGGAGAGATCAACAGAAAACATCAACATCTACTATTTGTTCCTCAGCAAGAATCATCAACAGAGAAAGCAAACTTTACAGATGGCAGGGGCCAACAAGATGACAACTCAGTTTTTAAACCAACCAACTAACAGACAATCAGGTGAACAAGTTGCTATATGTTTGGGTTATATAATTAGAAAAACAGTATAATTCAGATATTTACAGTCATATCTGTACTGAATGCTACAGAACCCCCATCCACAAATAATCATGTTTTTTTGAGTGGTAGAGATGTAAAAGAGACATTGTGTGGAGCTGAAACAAAAAACAGGACTATGTAGCACTTTAAAGACCAACAAGATGGTTCATTAGGTGATGAGATTTCATGGGCCAGACCCACTTCCTCAGATCAAATTGTGGAAGAAAATTGGCACGACCATATAAACCAAAGGATACAATAAAAAAATGAACACATATGAAAAGGACAAATCAAATTTCAGAACAGAAGGAGGATGGGGGGGGGAGGTAAATGTCTGTGAGCTAATGATATTAGAGGTGATAATTGGGGACGCTATCTTTGTAATGGGTAAGGTAATTAGCATCCTTGTTAAGACCTAGGTGTAAAGTGTCAATTTAAACCTTGAATGACAGTTCAGAGGATTCTCTTTTAAGTCTGGTGTTAAAAGGTCTTTGAAGCAGGATGCAGGTAATCAGGTTGTTGAGACAATGCCCTTTCTGGTTGAAATGGCAAGAAACTGTTTTTTTATGTGTGATCCTGTCTAATATCTGTTTTGTGTGCATTGATTCTTTGGTGAAGTGTCTGAGACGTTTGTCCAATGTACATAGCAGACGGACATTGTCGGTACATGATAGCATAAATTATATTTCTGGATGAGCAGGAATATGTGTTACAGGATCACAAAAAATAACAAAACCAGTTTCTTGCCATTTCAACCAGAAAGGGCATTGTCTCAACGACCTGATTACCCGCATCCTGCTTCAAAGACCTTAAACACTATAAACAAAATAAAAGAAGAGTCTTATATAATCGTTCCTTTGCTTCTTAACAATCACTGTAAGATAGTTCACATCTGAGTTAAATGTGAAAAAGACCCTAAGCATGTTCAGTTGAGTCAAACTATATATCACTAAGGACACAGAGCAGCAGAAGTATGCATAGTGTTGACAAAATATGTGTAATGGGGAGATGGAGATTTATTTCAAGTCTAGGACCTGAGAGGCTATTCAGATTGAGAAAGCAAGATCAGGACCCTAAGAGGAAGCTGAATATCTTTCTCAATAGCCTTATGCGCTCTTCACTCAGCAGCTTTCAGTGGGACATGTGGTACTGAGGCTAAGTGCACTTAGAGATGTGGTGTGATTCCCAGCTCACACATACGTACTTATGCTTGCTCACATCAAGCTATTGTATTAAACATAGTGTAGCTGTGGTAGCACAGGCAGCACTAAGTGATGGCATTTACCCCTGGATAACTGGTGAATTTATACTTAAGGCAACTAACCCTTGCTACTTTTCATTGCTACCCATGCCAACAGAACTGCATTCCTATTTTAGCTCATCGAGCTAGCACAAGTATATCTATGCAAGATGGGAATCACACCTCTAGCTCACATGCATTCATAGCCTTGGTGTCTTTCAAAATCCCAGCCTATACATTTTATATTAATTGTGTTGTTTAGACCAGGAGGCCTCTCTCGTGTCATTTATAAATTGTGTTCTGCACTAGAACAGGGACCTGTTGCTTAAACACTGAGCTCACGAAAATAGTAGGAATCTTTTATTGTATCCTTTATGGCAGTCTCCAGTCCAATACAACACACTAATATCTTGGCTTGAACCAATATTAGAAATCCTCTATATATTGTATGTAAAAAAAAATTCTGCCAACAATGGCAAAAATCACATGGTTAATCCATTAAGTGTAAAGTTTTAATACAAAGTTTTCATGGATAAAAAAGAATATTTTATATGATTTCAAGTCATTTGTTGAAAATTAACTTTTAAAATTTTGTCTTGATATTACTGTTGGTTTTATTAAAGAAAATAGATTATGACTGTTGTAATTTGTTATTCCAATTAATTAAAACTCAGTCAGATTTTTATTAATATGGATCCAAATTAATTGACCTTAATGTCTCTTGAGATAGTAGCCCACAAAGCAAGCACAAAAACATTTGCAGTCATAGGTGAATGTGTGGAGCTGCCACTGGACTGCTGCTCCACCTTGGTAGTCTACAGGTCACTTGGGCTCATTAGGTTGCCTGGAGACTGGTTCTACTATAGGCCTTACTTCCAGTCTAGCTTTGCTGCAGGACCCAATTCTTGACAGAAAGGAGGACATATGGGAGAACTTGTGACTAGGAGCAACCCCTCTGAATCCCAATATCTCCAGGAGCTACTCCTAAAAATCACAGTCTAGGTCTATGGAACTCAACACATTGCACATTAATGCCCATATAGAAGTCTTTCTTCCTCAGAGTCCTCTTAAGGCTTTAAAGACTTCAATTAAGCCTTACAGCAAGTATAATTGTAATTGGCAAGTATAATTATAGTTATTTTACAGATGAGTAAACTGAGGCACAAACTGGAAATCAAAATCAAGAATCCTGGTTCCCAGTTTAACAGTACAGGCAGTCCCCGGGTTACGTACAAAATAGGGACTGTAGGTTTGTTCTTAAGTTGAATCTGTATGTAAGTCGGAACTGGCGTCAGCCGCTGCTGAAACTGATCAGTTTCAACAGC